CGCGGCCCTCCCCCGCCCCAAAATCCCCCCCCAGGTGCCCCCCCGGCCCCAAAACCCCCCCCCCAGGTGCCTCCCCCGCCCCAAAATCCCCCCCCCAGGTGCCCACAGCCGTGTCCCCAGGGCACCTTGATGGTCTTGGTCTGCAGCTTGAGGCCGTTGAGGGCCCCGATGGCTCTGTCGGCATCGCCGGCCTCCACGTAGTTGACGAAGCCATAGCCCAGGCTTTGTCCTGGGGCACCGTGTCACCGTCACCGGGGGGTGGCCCTGTCCCCCGTGTCCCCAAAGCCATCCCTCTTCCCCAGGGTCCCTGTCCCCCGTGTCCCCAAAGCCATCCCTGTCCCTGCTCTGCTCCCACCCCTCTCCCCCAGATCCGTGTCCTGGAGGGTCCCTGTCCCCCGTGTCCCCAAATCCACCCCTCTCCCCCAGGGTCCCTGTCCCCTGTGTCCTCTCCCCCAGATCCGTGTCCCCGCTGTCCCAGAGGGTCCCTGTCCCCCGTGTCCCCAAATCCATCCCTGTCCCCCAGGGTCCCTGTCCCCCGTGTCCCCACAGACATGGGACTCCCGGTCAAACCTGTGGGGTGACACCGGGGTCACGGGGACAGTGGGGGGAGGACACCAAACCGTGCCATGGTCACCGTGTATCCCTGTCCCCAGGTGTGTCCCCAGGTGTGTCCCCAGGTGTCACCGCGTCCCATTTCCCCGTGTCCCCTGTCCCCTGCCTGTACCGGTGACCTTGTCCCGGACGAGCTTGCAGGACTCGATGTCCCCGAGGCTCCCGAAGAGGCTCCTCAGCTCCTCCTGGCTCATGGACTGTGGCAGGTAGTTGACGATCAGGTTGGTTTTGCTGTCATCGGTCACCGGAGGGGGACCCGGGGGGGCCCCGTTGGGCAGCGCCGCCGCCACCCCCGGGCCTGGCACGGCCACCACCGGGACAGGGACGGGGACAGGGCCACAGCCCGATGGCCCCGCGGTGCTGGGAGCCTGCGCCTCCACCGTGCTCAGGATCTGCTGAGGGGACAGCGGGTGTCACAGGGGGACACTGCGGGGACACGGGGACAGCGGAGTGTGGGGACAACGGGAGTGTGGGGACAGGGACACGGGGACAGTGACATGGGGACAGCGGAGTGTGGGGACAACGGGAGTGCGGGGACAGGGACACGGGGACAGTGAGGGGACAGGGACACGGGGACAGCGAGGGCACGGGGACAACAGGAGTGCGGGGACAGGGACACGGGGACAGAGAGGGGACAGGGACATGGGGACAGTGAGGGGACAGGGACAATGGGAGTGTGGGGACAGGGATATGGGGACAGTGAGAGACATGGACATGGGGACAGGGACATGGGGACAGTGAGGGGACAGGGACATGGGGACAACGGGAGTGTGGGGACAGGGACATGGGGACAGTGAGGGGACAGGGACATGGGGACAGTGAGGGGACAGGGACATGGGGACAGGGACATGGGGACAGTGAGGGGCCAGGGACATGGGGACAACGGGAGTGTGGGGACAGGGCCATGGAGACAGGGACAAC